TTTTTTTTTTAAAAAAAAATAAACCTAGCACCATCAGAAAACTAGCCTAGCACCATCAGACAACGAACCTAGCACAATCAGAAAACTAACCTAGCACAATCATACAACTAACCTAGCACCATCAGACAGATAGATAAACAACCGTACAACCTAAAAAATGCTCTCACCTCTCTCTAACTTTCTCTCTCTATACACTCTCTCTCTCCCCCTACCCACCGCCCTCCCCCCTCTCCGACCACCCCCTCGACCTCCACCTAGCCACCTCCGGCGGCCTCCTCCGCCGGCGGCCTCCTGGCTGCCGGGCTTGCTCCCTTTCCTTTCCTCTTTTCCAGTTAGTTTCCCTATGGACCCTCCACCTCTCACTTTGCTGCCTCTCCCTTCCATGGCAACTCACCCATCATCCCCGCCCATTGTCACGCTGGAATTTCAGACCTTGTTCTCTCAACCCGATTTCTAGCAAATATTTCTAAGTTTTTTTAAAGTCCAATCTAAATCCCAAAATCTGATTGCTAAGGAAACCCTCTATTCTACGGGTTCCATCTTGAACATCAAATCAGCCGGTCCCTCTGCCAGTTCCTCGACGACGTCGGCTCATGGTGAGCTTGAAGTAGCCACCATGAGTTTCCCGGTAACGATCGGCTCCTTGCTGTTGCAGATGGCCAAAAGTTTTCTGACTTATCCTCAAGCTTGCGGTGGCGGCGTGGAAGAAACCCACCAGCTGTGTGAGAAACCCTCAGCTGACGTGGCATCGCAGATCCCCAGGCCCAATCCAGTTCTTCTTTAGGCCTTCAAATCCACTTTGGGCCGCCCACCTCGTTGGGCCCAATGGCTAACCAAACCGTTAAAACCCACAAATAGATTACAAACAACAACCTTACAAACAACCTTTTCTACACGTGTGGGCTTCCCAACCCAGCCCATTTCCCTACTCTAGCCCACAACCCCAAACCTTTTGGGCCGCCCTATCCTCCATTCCTTCAGCCCACCAGCCATCATTCAACACAGGCTCCTTCAATCTCTTCCCCAGCATAACCCGTTGCCAACCCACTGCCCTCGGCTGCCCACCCACAACAGCAATCGGCCGGCGCGACCTCACTGCCGGTGACCGGCGACTCTAGCGCCGGCGCTGGCACCAGACTCCGGCAAGCCTCCGGAGCCCCCTATGCGGCCGTTTCTAGGCCCGCTACGCTAACGGGACCTACTTCTCCATCTCCCGGAAGCACCGAACCGACCGTTTTGTACGTGAGGGAAAATGGTGTTGTTGTTGCTAGCCCGAGCCTGACACTCGCGGTCCGTCTTTCCGGAACCCCTCCGAACGGGCCTATGCCGATGGGCGCCTCCACAGTCAATTACGCGGTAGCCGGGCCTTCTCCGGGTACCTCCACTAGCACACTCTCCTTCCGGGAGGCTATTACAGGGAGAAGAGACGACGACAAGAGTACCCCGTGCCCGACTCCCAAGGAGTTCATCTTTGACGGGGAATACGAGCATGCTTGCGGCTCCATAATCCGCTCGGAGTGGAACAAGGTAAAGGTTCGATTTTCGCAGGCCAAAGCTGACACCCTTGCCGGTAAGTTAGCTAACACCTTTGTATTTAAGTTCTCTTATGCCATCCCTCCCCCTCGAGATATATCTGCTGGATTAGTTAAGTTGGGGTTTAAGGGTAGATTTTCATTTAAGTGGTATAATTTCAACCATCTCCTGGTCTCCTTGCACCTCCCTGAGGATTATAATGAGGCTTGGCTTAAGACCTCTATTTCTGTATGTGGATGCCCAACTAGGGTGTGCAAGTATACTTTTGGGTTCAACCCGATGACGGAGACGCCTGTCGTCCCCGTGTGGTGCCACCTCCCCGGCCTTCCACCACACCTCTATGACCGGGATTCCATCACCACAGTTGCAAAGTGTGTCAGAAAACCGGTCCGCATTGATGGCCCGATAGCCCTCCAGTCGAGGGCTAATGTGGCTTGATTTTGTGTTGAGATCGATCTCAGGGTTGAGCCCGTCCATGAGATTGAGATTGAGCAGGGTTCGGAGACCTTTGTTCAGGGGGTGATCTATGAGAAGATCCCCGCGTTCTGTACCTCATGCAGCCATGTGGGGCATATAGCGGCTGATTGCTACATTAGTGGCAACAAGCCACGACCCACTCTGCCTCAGCGTCACCGTGCGGCTCAGCCGGGACCCTCCAATGGCCGGAGGGACCCGAAGGGAAAGGACAAAAGCCCTCTCCATGCGCCCAGATCCCCAATGTCTTTGCAGACCCTAATTTCTTTGCAGACATTAGACAGAGGATGATCGACAGGATCTCTGGTTGGTTGCATAGACACCTTTACTTCGGGGGTCGGCTTGCGCTGATCAAGAGCACCCTTAGCTCTCTTCCGCTTCACTTACTTATTGTCCTCGACGCCCCTAGGTCTACTTTTCGGGATGCACAATTTTAAGGCAAAGCTCGGCAGACTGCGGCGTAGGTTGAGACACTGGAAGTGGAATGTTTTGGAAACCTACATCAACACCTTTCTGTGGCTCAGAGTGCGCATGCGGAGGCTGAGCGGGCCTATGATCTGGATCCCACTCC